TGGCTGTTTGGAAAAAAACAGCTTCAACTGTTTGTCCATGATTTAGCTGCTGAGATGGTACTAGGCATCCTTTCATATATAAGAGACTGAATTCAGTCCTCACACCCTGTTCACAATACTTACAGCCATGAATTTAGAACATCTCCATGTTTATATAATTTTTTCATACAAAGGGAGATGTTCCCAATATGGGGCTGCAATTACTGTAAGCACGGTCTGTCTCCACTTTTTTTTTTGTTCTATCTCCGCCCTTGATCGCTTGCCATGTGTGATATGTAATTCCAAAAAGAAAAAATAGTTGTAATTACTCTTTATCCCACATTCATGTTAACATGTCATGCATGCATAACTCCAAAACAGCCCAAACTGTTTTTTTCAAACAGACAAGTCTTTTCTCATTTTTTTAATAATTGAGCCTTTTCTCTATTGAGACAGTCAGACTCAATGAAAGTGCAGGAAACAAGTTCATTCATGGTACTTTGCATAAAACACCTGTCCAGTGATGATTGATTAGCAATAGAAAGTATAGGAAATCTAGTTTTAATACATAAATAGTAGGCAAAATGGACAAGTTGGAATGTATTTGGTATTGTGGCCACAAAAAGCATGGTGTGTTTTTAGTTACTGAAGCTTAAAATAATAAGTTTTAAGTTCTGTTTGGTTTGCAGTTGGAATCAGAATCGGAATCGGAATGGTTTATTCTCATAGTTTGTTTGGTTTAGACAGGAATGGGAATGAGAAATGGAATTAACAAGAGGAGGGGCAGAGAATGGCCATCCCCTCAAATGGGGGAATGCCATTCCAGCAGAAATGGGAATGAGATTCTGATTCCACCCAACCAAACAATTGGACTATTCCGATTCTGATTCTGGGCTCCTATTCCTGCAAACCAAATGGGGTCATTTCAAATCCAACAATTTCGTTAGATGGAATTGGAATCTCATTCTCATTCCTGATGAAACGACATTCTCCCATTGGCTATTCCCTCTCCCTCCTTTGGAAAAGAAATCCCATTTCAATTGATTTTAATTATCATTCCGATTCCTATCTGAGCCAAAACAGATTATGAGAATAAATCATTCTGATTCTAATTCCAAAAGATTTTGATCTCAATTCCAACAATGAACCAAGTGGATCTTTAAAACTTTCAAGGTATTTTGTACTTGGTTATGTGTTGTATTCCAAAGATTGGGAATTGAAACAGAAATGTTTTCGTGAAGATATACCGAATCAATGTTTTATTAATGTTCCAAGGTGTGGTATATTCTAGAACATAAGATAAAATTTGGTACGGCCCGAAAGAACGCGTTTTCCCCTGGCTATGCATAAAGACATTTTTACCACATTAACAAACACTCCCTCCTCCTGACCACTTTGGCCGGTTTGAGAGCCCCCACAATCGACAATCCCCGATCTGATTCAGATTTCAGAGTAAACCAGTAGGCAACTGATGAGTTATGGAAAAGCGACATTTGTACCACTCAAAGTTAAGTTCGGCAACTGTAGGCCACAAAGTATTGGATCATGCCGAAACAAACAAAGTGATTTACTACTTTACTTGAACCAGTTGGCATCGTGGCGTCCATGCATTACACGTGTTCCTCTCACAGTACTAAGCCTTCCTCTTGGATCCCTCAGAATAATTCTGGTTTAATGGTTCACTGAGCGCTTGAAGGTGACGGGTTTCTTGTTTGTTACTCTGGAAAAGGACTCCATCAGTTTGAGTGGATACATGTGAGCATTGTACATATTTCTGGCCTCCTCTGATACATCTCCACTAATTTTTCATCAAAAGAGTTCGACTAAAATATCAGAAAGATATGATATCCAAAAAAAACTTAGTCAATTAGGTGTTATTTATCAAAATTGATTGGTGGGTAGGGGTGAGCATAATTCGGTTAAAACCGAATAATCGAACTGAAAATTTTGATTTTTTTGGTTTGGTTTTTTTGGTTTTTGGTTATTTCAGTTTTCGGTTACGGTTTTTAGAATTAAAATTTTGGTTAACTGAATTAACTGAACTTTTTATTATTATATATAATATATAATATGTAATAGGTAATATATAATATACTGAAATTCGATTTCATAATATATATTTTATAATATATAATATATATTATATATTATATATAATAGTATATATTATTAAAATTCGGTTTTAATCGAAAATCGAACAAAAAATTTTGGTTTCGATTAGTTCGGTTTTTCTAAATTTCACATTTCGGTTTCGGTTTTTATTTTTTTAGTTTGATCTTTAAAATTTCGGTTTATACGGTTCAGTTTTTAACCGAATAAACCAAATGCTCACCCCTATTGGTGGGTTTTAATTGGTTAAAAGTAATTTTATATATTATGTTTTTCATGCATCACAGATTTTCCCTTTCATTAATATCTGGTTTATTCTGGTCAAATTATGCTCCTCTTTGTATAATCAGATCAGTTGTAAGCGTTGAGGGGTGGAGCTAGAATTCTTTGTTAAGGGGGCCAAAACCTAGAAAACATGGATAGGGAGGGCTAAAAGTTAAGAAATATGGATAAGGGGGTCAAAATATAAGTGAAATTTAAATGGGTTTTGGGGGGGGGGAGGGGCATGGCTCCCCTCCACCACCCCTGGCTCCGCCCCTATAAGCGTTTAAAGCAGTATTTTAAAAGCTGATCCCAAGGCTGAATCGTTTTTACATTTAAATTATAATGAAAAAAATAAGTAAATTAAGATGGTCTAGGCTGCATTTGGCGTTCCTTATTTTAATGACTTACTTCCCTTTTGTTGTTAAAAATTCAGTGTTCATATATAAATGCAAAAAGGAAATAAGTCCTTAAAATAAGGAATGCCAAATACAACCTTAATCATATGCATAGATATTATAGGGCAGAAGGCACTAGAAAGGTTTGTAGTAGATTAAAAAGGATATGGGTCTAAATAGTAAGGATCCGTTTGGTTTATAGTTAGAATCAGAATGGAAGTAGTCTATTCCTACAATTTGTTTGGTTCAAATAAGAATTGGAAGAAGAATTGAAATCAACTGGATCCAATTCCGATTCCAATTCTTGACCTCTATTCATGTTAACCAAACAGGTCCTAAAAGATGCTTTAATGGCTCATAATTTAAGAATGGATATAGCATTAAATGGAAGGGGATGACAAAACATGATTCATATCGGGTATATAGTTATGATAAGGTTTAGATGATAGATGATGATAATGATGTTAGTAGTTGACTCAAGCTGGGATTGTGACTAGTTCCAATCCACTAGCCATGTTAATGATGGATTGAACAAAATCTGGGCTTAGGATCATAATTAATAATGATAAATCATAAACGTATTTGGATTTCATACGTTATCATTTAAAAAGTAGTTGTGGATTCCTAAAATACAATGTTTTCGAACCATTGATCATCTAGAAGATCGGATTGTTTGGCCTGAGAATCATTCAAGCAACTGATTTTATTTTACCTCAAACCCGGTTTCTAGCCAAAAAATGGTTGATTTGGTCAATAATTTATTGACTCGAGCGGTTGAACTATTCGACCCACTTAATAATTTTTGGCCAATTTTTATTTTAATTATTTTTTTAATTTTTTTTGTCAAAACGGGCTATCCGTTTGAACCAAACAGTCGAATTGTCAACCTAAAAACTGATGGCCAGAACGGTTCCGATTCTGAGTCGTTTTTTAAAACATTGATATAATATATTAAATACTTTCATATGTAAAATGCCATACATTTTATATATATATATATATATATATATATAATTTAAAGTTCCTAAAAGGGGATTGACAATGACCATGTCATTCATTGCATTTATTTTAAGGGGGTGTTATTTTTTCAGATTTTGAGAGGGGAGAAAGTTGGTCGATGGGATTTTTATTTTCATTGACCAAGAAATCCATGTTATTTTTTCAGATATATGTGGGGATCAAGAAAAATTTAACGGGTAAATAAATTTTCCACCCGGGAGAAAGTTATTAACACTTGAATAGGACAAAAATGCCCCTTTAAATAATGATTTTTATGACTAAAATGGTCATTACTTTTAATAAAAGAACATGGACAAATTCAGTTACCCAGATGCCAAAATAATTGGATTTGATCATCACACTATGCTAACATGCCCTTGTAGCTGTGTATTGAAAATATCCACCCATCAATAAAAAAAAAAATACATGTCTATAACCCCCAACAGGATTTGGTTCAGATGTCTCTGTTATAACGTTTTAGAGATCCTATTAACTAAATCACCTTCAGTTGGTTGTGACTGAACTCCAAAATTAAGTGTGATTACACAATAATAATAGGTGACCGAACCAATTTAATATCCTATTTTGAGCACCTCTATTTTTTTTTATTAAAAATAAAATTCACCATCCACATCTCCCTCTCACAGTAGCTGAGTGACTACTGAACCAATAAATCAATGTAAAATTCACATCTCTCTCTCTCTTTAGGTGGAACACACAGAGAAACAATGGAATCAAGGATCAACACTGAATCGATTTGAGTCACTCAATTAAGGGTCCCCAAATCAAATTATCTTGGTCTTGGCCTTTTCGCCCCTGCTTCAAACTGTAGAACGGTTGGGCTAAATTTTGCTGATAGTCCATGAAAGTGTTCATGATTGGACCATTTACAATCATTCGGTCGGCCTGATTAATAACTTGGGTTGACTATTAAAAGAAATGGATTAATTACTAGGGTTTCCTTTTCTTTGGGACCCCTTATAGGGGTAGCATGGTCATTGAACATAAGGGCAATTTTGTACTTTTAACACCGTGCTGATCAAAACTCAAAAGCAACTGTTCCATGGGAAATATAGACCCAGTAAACTTGACGAATATTCCATCATCTATAGTTCTATACTCTTGAGATTATTTTTTCACGATATTAATTAATTAAATTAATTGGTTATTTATTAAAATATTCTCCCTCTCTCTCTCTCTCATCATTAGCATTAGCAGGATTTGGTCGATGGGTACCGGTAGATAGAAGAAGACGGCCCAACACCAACACCCCCCGTTCTAAGAAATACTCTCTGAAGAAACAAACTTAGTATTTTCTTGAGATTTCTCTCTCTCGAAAAAAAGGAAAAGAAAAGAAAAGTGAGGGAGATAAAAGGGAAATAGAGAATTAGAGATCCGTCGCTGGGACGCAAAGTCTCTGCGTAACTGCGTCTTCCTCCTCCAATTCCGCCAAGTTTTCTTCCCGAATCATTTACGTAACTTAATTACGAACCTGTTTTTGGACCCGAGGAAATTCCTCTGTCCTCTGCGTTTTCTTTTCCTTTCCTCCATGTTTTCTAACTGTGATTTCGCCTTCTTTTCTTCCCCAAATTTCTTACTTAATTTCGATAAATCTCCCCGATTCGGTCCGAATCGTATGTAATCTTTGTTTTCTTTCTTCCACCGAAGAACCCATTTAATGTTTGCTATTTTTCATTTTAATTTCTTGCAAAAGATGTCTACTTTTTGGGTTTAACAGTGGTTTTCCTCGGAAATATTTTCTTTAAATCGGATTTCTTCTTATTCTAGAACTTCGGGCATTTGGGTCTTGAAGGGTTGGCTGGAGAATCATGTCCCCGGCTCCTATTGAAGTGACATTGCCGGAATCGCCATCGGTGTCCTCACCTCTCTGTTCTTCTTCCACTCAGAGATGCGGTGGAGAATCTCGGTTTTCCAATCTCAGAAGCGTTCAGTGGCGAATAAATTTGGGGATTTTGCCATCTTCTTCTTCCATCGAAGAACTCCGGCGGGTCACAGCAGATACTCGAAGAAGGTAATAATTTGATAATTTCTATTTTTTTTTTCTTCAGGCCATTTGATATGGTTGGCCAATTATCACCATGGGTTTCTATAGGAGTATGACTTATTTGATTTGTTTTTTGCTTTTTTCTTCATTTCCAATTTTTGAGTTTCCTCCATCTGGCGGCTTTTGTTTTCGCCAAGTAAGGTTTGGTGGTTGAAATTTAAAGTTCGTTTCTTTATGGAAATTAATAGCTGTTCATAGCCAGCCCTTCAAGCCAAATATCGAGTCTCTGTTGCGATTAGCATGGGCATGGAATTTTGAGCTTAAAATTTTGCCTTAAAAGGGTTGTTCTTTTCAGTTTTCATATGGTTATGTTCAGATGCACACAGAGACTCTACTTTCCTTCTCAGTTTGATAAAGTTTTCCCTAATGCGTTTTTTTTTTCCCTTAGTTTCTGATTTCTTTAGAAATCCCTTCACTCCCTCGTCTCTGATGCAAGTAGTTTTGGTTTTCCTTGTGTCTACTCTTAAAGGGGTGTTTTCAGCTTGGTGAAATTTCTTTCAGATTGTGGTCGTAGTTGTTCTGTTTTCTTCTTGTTTGATTTAATGGGGATCTTAGAGTTATTGGTGTGTTGCTGAGCTATTTGGTTATTCTTGGTTGGTTCTTTTATGGTATCATTTAACTTTCTTTTTGTGCCAGTAAAGATCAAAGTGCTGCCAGTAAAGATCAAAGTGCTGGTCCTAATGTTCTATTAGTTGATTGTATGACTTGCTTGTGGTGTTTAACTGCAATACTTGAATGCTTAGATGTGCTTCATGTAGCTGCCTCTAAAGTACAATATCCTCTTCATTTAACTGTTAAACAATTTATGTATTTTTAGTCAACAAAAAAATGCACAAATTACATATTTTGATGACTCCTAGTAAAAGATACTTTATGAATGTCAGAACAGAAACTTGTATCAGCATCATATCATGAAGACTCTCATGTTAGTTTGAAAGAAGAAAGCTGCTTTGCTTAAAATGTACATTTAAATACATGAATTTGAAAGTAGCATCTTTGCAAACTAAGGGCAATAGATCAACATGAGCATGATAGATTGGTAGTTGTATTTGAATCTGTTTCTCTCTAGATGAGGCATCCAATATCCATTTGATATATTACCATCATGACTAATTGATAGTGTCAGGACTCTATGCTCCTGCATAGCTGCATTCATATTGTGCCATCTTAGGTTCTTAGCATGCATTCAATTGATAACAATCTAATTCATAATAGGACAGACTATGACCACATTGTCATCTATCGAGACTAGCAATAAACCGGGTTACATGGATGCATACCAACCTAGAACTTTACATGGTTGTACATGTACTAAGTTTTAGCAATCTAGTTTTCTATGCATATATTAGATCAGCCAAACTCAAAGCCCATACTTATTTTGATATTATCTAGTCAGGTTTTTCATAGTTGTCTCTAGATAGAGCACAATGTGAGGAGAGAATTCATGTAGCCAGTCCCAAATAAATGGGATTAAGGGTTAGTTAAGTTTGTCAATCTTATTCCTAGTTTGAGTACTCAAGATAGCAATTATGATATAGCCAGTCCTAAATAATTGAGATTAAGGGTTAGTTAAGTGTGTCAAGCTTATACATAGCTGGAGTCCTCAAGATAGCAACTACCATGTCTAAGCATGCTAACCTTAATGCTTCAGTGCACAATATTTTAGTAAAAGCTATTGAGCTATAGCTTTGTTGTCATAACATGATATAACCATCTTATGTTCTAAGTTGATTTTCTTTACAGGTATGCTGGTTTGAGAAGGCGCCTTCTAGTTGATCCGCATTTTCTTAAAGAGGGAAATAATTCTCCTGATCTTATCATGGACAACCCACTATCACAAAACCCTGGTATGTTTACTTTATTATTACTTTCCAGGAATTCTGTTATAGCTTAAGCTTTTATTTAAGACTAAGTTTCATATCAAGCCTGCTATCTTTCTGGCCAAAATCTTCTAATATTCACATCTCTTGCTCAACATTTATGAAGTTTCTAATGGATATTTCACTCTAATTATGCTTTTCTAATAGATAATGATATTAAGGAACTTGGGTTGTTGCAGAAAAAATACCTATGCATGTAGAAAATGTTGAATGGGAAATGTTAAGAGTAACACATAATATCATTATGGATTCATGAGCAACATTTAAGTGATCTTTTATTTTAAATCTTAATGCATTTTCCACTGATTATCTTGTATCCAATGCCAGATAGCATGTGGGGCCGGTTTTTCCGCAATGCTGAGCTAGAGAAAATGGTTGACCAGGATTTGTCACGTTTATATCCAGAACATGGAAGCTACTTCCAGATGCCAGCATGTCAAGGCATGTTAAGAAGGATACTGTTGTTGTGGTGCCTTAGACATCCAGAATATGGTTACAGACAAGGCAAGTTATCTAGTTCATAGACATCAGGATAAGCTTTCCTTTTTCTGTTGCTGAAGATTTGTAGAATAAGTTTAATCTCTTAATAGGTTTTCCCCTTGGACCTTGAACTTCAAAATAATTTTCCCCTTGGAGTGTGATCTATTATGAACTTAGAAGCATGTAAACTTATAGTCACAATATCTCAATAATGTTAAACTTTTCTTGGTCCTTTGTAACTTCCAATTGTCTGATATGTTCAAACCATTTAACTTGTCCAGAGATTAAACTTCTTATCATTTATGATTAAATTGTTGAAAGTCCTTTGTGTATGTGTGTGTCTCTGTAGTATCTCTTGTTGGTTTTCTCATTGATATATGTTTCTTTTTCTTCTCTCTCTCTCTCTCTATAGGGATGCATGAACTATTGGCTCCACTACTTTTCGTTCTTCATGTTGATGTGCAATGTCTTTCTCAAGTTCGGAAAATTTATGAAGATCATTTTACCGATAAGTTTGATGGGCTGTCCTTAACTGAAGGTGATGTTATGTGTGATTACAAGTTCATGAGCACACCAGATTCCTCTAATTGGGGCATGGGGATGGATGAGAACAACTTACAGGGAAGTACCAACAAGGTCAGTAGTCTTGATGAGCTTAATCCTGAGGTACAGACTATTATATTGTTAAGTGATGCTTATGGGGCAGAGGGTGAATTGGGTATTCTCCTCTCTGAGAGATTTATGGAACATGATGCATATTGTATGTTTGATGCCTTAATGAGTGGGGCTCGTGGTACTGTGGCAATGGCAGACTACTTTTCTTCTTCCCCCACCCTTGGGTCCCAGACAGGCTTACCTCCAGTAATTGAAGCTTCTTCTGCATTGTATCATTTGCTTTCTATTGTTGATTCATCTCTGCACAGCCACCTTGTTGAGCTTGGGGTAGAACCCCAGTACTTTGCACTCCGTTGGTTGCGTGTTCTATTTGGACGTGAATTCTTACTAGAAGACCTCTTGATAATCTGGGATGAGATATTTGCAGCCGACAATAGTAAATTAATAGCTAGTGCCAATGATGATGATGGTTCTGGCTTTGGTGTCCTTGGTTCTCCTCGTGGGGCATTCATCTCAGCAATGGCTGTTTCAATGCTACTTCATTTGAGATCTTCCCTGCTTGCTACTGAGACTGCTACTGCTTGTCTCCAAAGATTGCTAAACTTTCCTGAAAATGCAAATGTGAAGAAGTTGATAGAGAAGGCAAAATCTTTGCAGTCTCTTGCTCTGGATACCAGTATCTCCTCACTGTCTCCTTTTCTCTATGGGGCCTTTGACAGGAAATCTACTCTAACCAGAGTTCATAGCCTTTCCTCTGGTTCAATTTCTCCTAGAACCCCACTAAAGGTGGTACCTGAGAGTTACTGGGAAGAAAAGTGGAGGGTGTTGCACAAAGCAGAAGAGCTTCATCAAGGAAGTTCCGGAAAACAAGTTCCTTCTGGAAAAAAAGGGTCATCAGGGAAAGTTAGATTGAGCCTGGCTAGGGCAGAGTCAGATCCATCTCCTGCAAAAACCACAAGTGTGAAAAAGGATTCGAGATCCTTTGTTAGGAGAAGATTGTTAGAAGATCTGTCTCGAGAACTTGGCTTTCAGGAGGATGTTGAGAAGCCAGGATGTTCTGATCAGAAAGATCCTATCTGTAGTCAAAAGGATCCTCTCTCCAGTGTTAATGTGGGAGAGCAGGGATTCCTCAATGACAGTGCTGAAAAGAATTGCATTGATAAGAATTTTACATCTACAGCTGTTGAGACAAGTTTGAGTGGACATACTGGTAGTGAAGAAAACTCCTCAATATTCTCTGCCTCATCAAGCCCTTTATCTGGAGCTAATGACCATGAAAATGACTCAGAGAAAAGTAGTGTTTCTTCGAATTTATATGTAGATGACAATGATGGCGAATCCAATAATCTGGAGCAGTGTGGGACTGCTCTAGATGACACACCTCTTCCTGTTTCCTATCCCACAGATGCTACATTACAGCAGCCTGAATCCGACAAGGATTCAACAGGGAAACAGGAAACAATTTTGAAGGAGCGAAAGTTGCATTCTGGTAAATTTCAATGGTTTTGGAGGTTTGGACGTGGTGGCGGTGAAGGGGCCTCTGAGAAAGGAGGTAACTCAGAGGTGTCAAGGTCCACAAATGTGGGAGGTACCTCAGAGGCGACGACTGATAAATGTGATTCCTCTGGACTTGGTGGTACAGGAGATTCTGTAGACAAGAATGTGCTGGGTACTTTGAGGAATCTTGGACATACAATGCTTGAAAATATTCAGGTAACAATTTGATCGTTTACAACATTTCAGTTAGTGTATGGCTTATACTGACTGCACCAATAACTGAGAATCCTTGACCATTTTGTCTGTCAGGTACTTGAGTCGGTGTTCCAGCATGATAGAGGTCAGGTGGGATCATTGGAGAACTTGTCAAGAAACATTCTTGTGGGCAAAGGTCAAGTTACAGCCATGGCAGCTCTGAAGGAGCTTCGGAAAATCAGTAATCTTTTATCCGAGATGTGAGGTTAGTTTTGTTTACCTGTATATACATTATGTAATTATCATTCTTGAGTCCAAAATAAAATTGAGCTCTTGGGTTATCTTCCCTTCCATTTCTTCCTCTGGTATATCCAATTTTGAGCTTTGATGGATATGTAAATACAAGTTTCAAAAGGAAATGTCTCTCAATGCAGAGTTTACTTGAAGACCATGATTGAGTAAATCATATTATTCCGTTCAATAATCAAATGCTTTTCTAAAATGTCATCTAGCATAAGCAAATAAAAAAGCTTATGTATTTCTGTTTCATTTTCTTTCTATTATTATTATTTTGTTTATTTTTATTGAGTGTGTGTGGGTGAAAAAGAAAAACAGAGAAAACCCCCCTCTCTGTAAGGCAATCATGATAAGTTTGCAGTGGCGGCATATAATAATTTGATTCAAACATTCAGATATTAAAACCCAAGTGGACTTGGAAAGGTTTGTCATCATCAATTCATCATCGTCATCGCTGGGCCCTCGGCAGCATGAATCCTTTTCTTCTCATTCAGCTCAATTTAAGGCCATATCTCATCTCATCTTAAAGAATGAATAAACAAGTATATATTTAATTATTTATAAAATTTCTTATTCTCTCCTTATTTCTGTCTCATACGATCTTCTCTTTTGTTCAAGATAGTGGCCATTTTATTAGAATTTAAAACAGAGAATTTGATAACCTAGCTGAGACAAAGACAGAAGCTTTGACAGAGTCAAAGCTCAGAAAATAAACAAATTTCCGACTAGTTGTAGCCGCCACTATACTCTGTCGCTGAGCTGGTGATCAATGAACGCTTACATCCTTCGTGGTAACTTCATCCTCTCACAGGGATTAACATGATCCACTCTTAATTCTATGTATTACTTATTTCAGGGTCAATGCAGAAAAATGAAATATAAATTCTTTCAATTTGACAATAAATAGATTTCTCAAGCTATTTTGGATTTCTTCCTTCTTTCATCTCCAAACCCCAAGCCAATTACGCAATGTTGGCCCAGCCACGGGTAGCGGTGGCAAGGAGCCAAGCTTTTCACAAGCCGAAAGCTTGGCTTGGTTTAGTTTCTATCGAGTTTCGAGCTGAGTTCGAGTCCAATTCACTGACTCGATTATGAAATAAGCCAAGCTCGAGCCTACTAGAGCTCGGTTCATGAAGTTTGTAAGCCGGCTTGAATATATATAATAAAATTATAAAAAATAATATATAATAAAAACATTATAATTATTAATTATTATAATTTATAATATTTTAAATATCAAATAAAAAATATTTTTTTATATAATTTTTTATTTTTATAAAACATTTTCTTTTTAAATCGAGTTTGAGCTTATGAATTTTTGACTTGAGATGAGCTCGAGCTCGAGTTTGAGCCTTGTAGAACAGTCTCGAGCCGAGCTTAAGCCTCGTACTATTCAGTTCGGCTCAGCTCGAATCCACCTCTAGCTATGGGTGTCAATAGACTGATTTTGGGTTGGACCCCATCCAAATCAAAATCAATTTGAACGGATTTTATGGAACAATAAGATATTGAATTGGACCAATCCAGACTTAGTGGTCTACAGTATTTATTGGAATGGATCTGGTCCATCTATAATGAATTTATATTAGATTGGGTTGGATTGAACCAATATCCACTCCATTGATGGAGGATAAGAATTTAGGTGTTAATGGGACAGTTCAGGCGTTGAATTGAACTGGTCAAAAATGGTTTGGATTGGATTGGACCTGCTCTATCTGTAATGGATTCATATTAGACCATATTGGATTGGATCAAATTCGGTCCAATTGGCACCCTAGACCTGGCTATCTAGAGTAAGAGTCTAAAAAAAGGACAAGGTAATAACTAACAAGTCATTCAATTCAACCACTTGAGCTTTTGTGAGGAAGAGTCTTCACAGTAAACACCATTCACCAACTGCTGGGCCCTAAATGCAATAATAACGTATCTTCTTTCTATGCCCCATCAAAACGTTTTCATGAGGGAGAGAGAGATCTTACAGTGTTCACAGTCCACACTCCACATCATATGTGAGCATATGCTAGGAATATTATTACTGTTACTTTATAATACAAATGCTATTTCATGTATTTATTAATGGGTCTTTTTGGTGCACTTGATAAAGCTAAATTGAGTGACACATTGAAATTCTTTTCAGGGTAAATTATGGAGAGAGACCTTGTACTTGGGCCTGAATTTTCAGGTTCTGACATTTTAGACACTAATCTTTTAGAAATACACATTTGAGTCCAACTCTTTTAAACCTATTGTTATATAGAAGGTAATATCACAAAAATGTTTATATTCAGATTTTATTTTTTTTTCTCACTGTTTTACGTTATTCCATTCGAACTCGAATGCTTTTATTCTTTGTGGAATAAAAAAGCATAGAGATGGTTTCACATCGAAAAAAAAAAAAGAGATAAAAGTTCAGGGAGCAAAAGAAAATCCAAACATGGGCATTTTTATAATTTTGCCTATTTGTAATGTCAGTTTTAACCGTGGTTTTCAAAACCAGACCGGATCAGACAATCAGACCGGTCAGGCGATCGATTCCGTTTTACCCTAGAGCCCTTATTTCGCCAAAAACCGTTGATTTGGTCAGTAAAACATTGACACGGGCTGTTGAACCATTTGAATCGTCCAACGGTTTTGCTCTTTTTTATTTTTTTTGTCTGAATAATCTACCCGTTTGGTTCAAACGGTCAGACCGTTTGACCCTGGAATCGGACCCCTGACCAGTTCATTGTCCGGTTTAATTTTAAAAACCTTGGTGTTAACAGACTTAGACTTAAGTGTATATTTCTAAAAGTTCATGATACTAAAATGTTCCACTTGAAAGTTCAGGCACTTGAGTGTCAGTACCCCATGTACCTATTTATAATTTACCTTTATTATTGTTGTTGTTGTTGAATGGGGTGTTTTTCGTCTTTTGGCATACTTACCTTCTCTACATGCCCTTCTATAAAAAATTTTAATGAGCCCAAATTATATTTCTCTCCTTTTTAATGGCCAATATGCCCTTCTAAAATGCGATAGTTTTTTAATTGTGTTGGATAGCTAGACAGCTTTAGAAATAAATTCTGTTTCTGCCCCAATTCCATGGACTACAAAATCATCACTCCCTTCTTAGGGTATGTTTGGTTTAAAGGAAAAAGCATGGAAAAGAAGAAAAAGGTAGGGAAACCTTTACAAACCTTGTATACTACTTTTCCTTCATTTCCCTACCTTTTCCTTGAAACCTAACATTGTCTTAAGGAATTTCTATTTCTATATTAGTAAAAGGGAATTCAGCGAGGTTAAGAACCTACTATGTTTCAAATATGGTTTTCAAACTGTCATTGACTCAAGTAGTCTAACTGTTTGGCCTAGAAGTTGTCCAGGCAACCAGTTCCATTTCACCCCTAAACCACTTTTTTGCCAAAAAAAAACGATTGACTTGGTCAGCGACCTACTGGCCGAGATGCAAGGTTTTTAAAACCAAACCGGGCAACAAACCAGTCAAGGATCCAGTTCCCAGTTCAAACGGTCTGATCGTTTAAACCGAATGGACAACCCATTCTAACAAAAAAAAAAGGGAAATTGTCTAAAACTCACCATGTCACTAACTTGGTGTTAAACAAACTAATGGGTGTTAATATATTACCATTTTAACCTTCATAGAAAAATATAAAATATATACAAAATAAATTAATGGGCGTTAATATATTACCATTTTAATATTTAGACATGAAAAAAGGAAAAAGTTCAAAAAAATATTTTCAAATATAAAAATACATAAAAACATAGAAATTGCAAACAAAATAAAAAATTATTTTCAAATTATAGAAACTATAGCAATTGAAAAACAAAATCAGAAAATAAAAATTGTAGAAAAAACGCCAAAAATTATAGAAAACACAGAAACTGTAGAAAATAGAAAAATTATAAAAAACATTAGATATTATAGCAAAACACTAAAAATGCAAAAAAACAAGAAAATTGAAAATCGGAAAAGACCGTTTTTCCTCTTCTCACATTCAAGGGTAACTTGGTCATGAAAATTGTTATTTATGCTGACATGGACACCTCTATTAAGAAGCATTAACGGTGTACTAACGGAAGGTGAGTTTTGGAAAATAAAAACTTACTGACATGGTGAATTTTAGACATTTTGAAAAGTTGAGTTTAAGAGAAATGTTGAAAACTCATGGTGAGTTTTAGACAATTTCCCAAAAATTAAAAATAAAAAATAAAAAATGACCAAAACCGTTGGACAGTTTGAATGGTTCAACCACCCGGGTCAGTGGTTTGCTAACCAAATCAACGGTTTTTGGTGAAATAACGGTTTTGGGGTGAAACAGACTGGTCACCTGTTTTTCCGGTCCAACCGTCTAGTCTGGTCCAGTTTTGAAAACCATGCCCAGATGATTAAACCATTGACCTGTTTGACTTGGATAATGGTTTTTGGCCATTTTTTGTTTTTTGTTTTGATTTTTTTTTTTTTTTTTAAATTGCAATAGGCAGTCCATTTGGACCGGATGGTCAAACCACTGACTCAAAAACCAGTGATAAAAATGGTTCCAGTTCGGTCTGTATTTAATACATTGGTTTCAAATGTTCGATCGCTATGAAAGTAGACCTAGCATCAGAATAATGAAAGTTGTGGAACTGAGGAAGCTGAGTTCTTTCAATTCCCAATTCCATCAGCTCATATAACGTGCTCCCATATGAAATAAGAAAATTCTTCAGGCTGAGTTTGAAAAAAGTACAAGAAAATCTCATATTTTGTATTATTTTGTATGTATTTACACTGTACATATTTGCATTTGTACTCTTTCCAAACTGAGCCTCAAGGCTTGAATCTATTAGCATGAATGGGTTCCAGAAAAAGGCATGATCAAACCCTAACCATAATATGTTTAAAGTTAGTTACTGCAAATAAGAATTGGAGGAAGCCCTGGTTGGTGCTAGTCTGCTAGAAAGTTGAATGAACTTGACGACTCTGCTGTTATTCTTCTACAAATTCCGATGACATTAAACAGTTCTCAAGATGATTTTCTTTGTAGCGTCATCACAAGATAGATGCATAGAAGACCATCTACAACACTATAAGAAGCAGTAGGGTTGAAGCAGTACTAAATGATACCTACAAAAGAAATAAAGATATGGCCATGCACAGAATTGAATGGTGAAAACAAGATTAATGCAGCTGACCCCATATAATTAGATGGAATAAGTCTTCTTAGCTGATTATGAACGCTAGATGGATGTCACAAGATTGCAGGGAACATTTGAAGGTGAAACCAATTGGTGTTTCTACTGTTTTACTAGTGTCTAGGGGTTAATTGGACTGGATTTTGGTCAAATGTGAGTTCAACCAAACCATTCGATCTGTTCAAATTTATTTTAATTTAGATTGGTTTTTCAACCCATTTGACACCTATATTCTTATCTTATATCAATGGACAAGATATTGGCTTAGCTCAACCCAATCCAATATAAATTCACTACAGACGGACCAGATCCAATCCAATTCAATAAATATTTTGGACCAGATTGGTCCAATTCAATATCTTGATCTATCCAATCCATCTAAATTGATTTTGGTTTGGACAGGGTCCAATATCTAGTGTCTTGTTAAATATTTATTTATGGTCAATTTTGATAAAAAAAAAGAACAAAATAACATCTATGCTCTACAAACAAGAAAAAAACCGAGCATTTGACATGCATATAAGACTATAGGGGAATAGATGCCACCAACAAGATCCTTCACTTTTGGCAAGCACATTTTTCAGGTTATTAAGGGAAAAGTATTAATTCATACTGGTCAAACTTGACTGCCAAAGCTCCAAGATGAGTCTCAAAGGATGATCCTCCTATCGTCAATAGCTAAGCTCAAAAAATGAAACCTACCATACGAAGGCTATTATGTCTATCTAAATTGCATTAGCATCCAAATTTTGCCATGTTTTACGGACTTCATTCTTTTTGCTCTTTCAATCTATTTCTTTTATTGCTTGAACAAAAGCATGGCTCCTGATGGAGATTAGAGCACATTGGAGGAACAGAGATTTTTTTTTTCTTTTTTTTGGAAAAGAGGAACAGAGATCATGTAATCCAAAAGTTGGGATTAAGATTTAAGGCTGAGTTATCTTCTATTCCTCCAAATAGGAAATCACAATCTGATCTGCCCAAGCAAATAATTTGCACAACATAATGTCCATTTGGAAGAGCTGAAGTCCAGCGAATTCTTGCTCTATGAGGTGGGCGATATACAGACAACCTTTAAGTTATGTTTGGTGAAAAATCCGGAGCGCCCAAATCAACTGTCTTTTTCTGGGTAATCCGCTTAGATAGCTTATCCAGAGCACCTCAAAGCAGCTGAACCAGCATAGCTGAATGTTCAGCTCAACCCTCCAAAGCCCTTAAGTAGTCTTGAATAACCCTTTGCCAACTTGATAAAAGTTTTTTTTTTTATCAATTTTCCTTTGATAAATAAAATCTATGTTGCCAGAAAGACCTTTGAACCTCTACAGTTCAACATCAAAGTTAATTATAAATTTATAAATAAATAAATAAAAGATGAAAGAAGCATATAAAGAATTTCGGAAGCTCCAATATAACCTAAGATTCATAGTCCATTACTATAATGAGAATAATAAAATTACTACATGAAAAGGAATTTGCAAAATTAGAGATGATCAGCAAAAGAAACATAAAAGGGAAATTCAATTCAACTGAAACCATGCATACTATATATGCAATTAAACTTACGAGTCAAGATTAAAAAATACTCAATGAAACCCATCAAAAATTTTCATTAACATCTACCATGTTACAAGTACAAAAAACCCCCCACAGAAACCAACTGACAAGGGCAAGTCTACTTCAAAGATCATCCTCCATCCTCAAGTATTCTCCTATATCTGCCTGATGTAACACAACAATCCCATTCGGGTCCAACTTCCTGCAATCCTGCGTTGACTTGGCTGCAATCCCAAACCCTAATGGCACATCTGACATGGAGAACACAACCACCCCATCACCTGCTGCTGTGTTCTCTGTAATCCTCCCCAAACCACCCTTCAAAACGTGATTACCGTACAAGAAGGACATCTCGGAAGTGGGTTTCAACCAAACCTTGTGTTTTGCATTAACAGCCAAGAGATTGAGACACTGGATGGTGAGGTGAAAGCTGCCACCTTTGGTGAACTTGCCAATGCAGGTGCCAAGGGAGACAAGCTTGTTGCGGTCGATGTTTGTGGCTCGCTTCACTAAGGCTTCACTTACATAATACACTTTGTTCTTTTGGAGGCGAAAACAGTAATGGCCTGGTTTGTCATCTGGACCTTCATGCGATGGGCTCTCCACTATGTTCTTGAGGTTATTGCCTGTAAACTTGAAGAGCTTCTCGAATACTGCTGTTGTTTCCTTCTCATCTAGAGGCCGCATCTCTGTTTATCTTCACTTTCTCTGTTTGGGCATTCTAGGACTTAGACAGGATGGGAGGAATAGAAAAAGTCCTCTATGGTAATACAAGCTCTTCAAAAAACAAAATCAAGAGCTATATGATACAATAAAGCTATAGCTACTAGAAATATATGAAACCTTAGAGATCAGATCTACCACTCCAACTGGATGAGCCTGACCACATGATAGTAAACAAACACAATCATACCAACCGGACCATGCCTGCCAAAGCACTATCAGTGCTGTGACTAGGTAAGAGACGACACCCCTGGGCAACATTTAGGTGACTTTCTTCCTTTTCAAATTTAGTCAGCTATGAATCATAAACTATTTAAGCTCTAAACGTTCTAAAATATATGAAATTAAAGCTTTTAATTTCAATAAAATTTCACTGTTCTATGGTATTAAAATTATGATAGATCATATCACTGAAGTGACAAGTGAGGAGGTTCATCTTTAACCAACCAGATAAAGAAGATGCCTTTCTGTGAGAATTTTTTTAGTTTCTGGGTTTTGTTTCTTTTGTGGACATTGACCCTTGCAGCAATTATAATTGCATCATATATAGTTTACTATCTAACAAGAAGATTCATTTGGGAATTAATGGGTGGATTTTCCAGTTTTTACAAAGGAAAATTATTGATAAGGGCACTTCTAATTTTTACTTAAAATTAAGGAATATGTAACAAAATCTTTGCAAAAATGTCCTAATGAAGAATTGTGTCCACTAGATCCTCTTTATGTTTTAACATCTGCCCAACTACTTCCGGAATGACTTTTTAAACATCCAATAATTATTCTATTGATTGCTATTATTGTTTAGGAAAATATCACCATAGATGAAGTAGTTTTCCCCAATGTTTTCAACCCGCTGTTGGCACAGCCGGTCGAACCACCACCCGGCCAAGATTCTTAGTCCGGTTCAGTCAAGATCCATCAGATGGTAAAAAACCGTTGACTTTGTCAAGAACCGTTTGACCCGGCCAGTTCAACCATTGACCCATTCGACCCAGTGACCGGGTCGCAAGTTGCACACTCAATGCATGCAAAACTTTTGGAGGCCAAAACTTTGCACTCCGATGTCCGATTGGGGTGATTTTTTTATTTTTTTTATTTTGGGTAACTTTTTGAGATCTATTCATCCCAAGGTGATGTAGGCACCTTGCCCCGCTATTTTCGTGAAAAAAAACCCTTTCTTGGCCTCAAATTGCAATTTTTAATATTTTTGATAAATAAAAAAATTAAAAACTGAACTAAAAAATATAAATTAAATATAAAATAATACATATAACATATCTAAAACATATTTATACATTATTTATTGCTAAAATATATATTTCTACACACACACACACTATATATATATATATATGCGATGACGTGGCACGGTCTAAACTGTTCAACCCGGCCGGTCGAACTGGTGACCCGCAACCTAGAGGCAAAAACAGTTCGGCCTTCAGGCCAGTTTTTAAAACACTAGTTTTTCCCTTTATTTTTTTTCTTTATTATTGTACTATTTTTACAATGTCCAAATATATTTACTTTTTTTTTCCATTTTCATTTTCATCTTTATTTTGTTTATTTAGTTATTTATCCATTCAAATTATGCATAACATGATTGCAAAAGGCTAAGTCTAATGTATAAAACAGGGAGAATGAATTTGAATAAATATATTTTTCTTTTAATCTTGACTAAGTAACACAAAATGGGTTAGCTAATTGGACTTATAAAATAGTCCATATTAAAAAGCTCCCTTTAAAAAGTCAGGTAAGGACATTTGTTGAGCATCATTATAAAAGTTCTCATACCAATGAATATAAAGCACAAAGCGCAAGGGGCAATTTGCACCCGAGGCGCAAGGTAAGGCACACGCTTTTTGAAGGGAGGGACAAAAATAAAAAATAAAAAGTCAGAAAATTCAAAAATTGCCAAAAAATTAAAAAAAAACATAATATTAATAAAAAAGTAAACTTAAATTTTAACATAAATGTTTTAAAAAACCTATTGTCTAAAATCAAAATACATAAACATAAAATGTAAAGTGTATCCAAAGGAAATTTTTAAATAAAATCAAACATATAAAGCATTTTCAAGCATGTAAAACCCACAATCTCTTTTTTTCCTCAATTGCATAGCCAATGTCATGTAAAACATATTGCATTCTTTGATTCTACGAGCCGCCTTTGTACCACACCTCTCGAGCCAAGCCCAAATAAGTCCATGTTAAGGTTTTAAATTCTTAATTCTCGCATAAAAAAATAATGATTTTACAATTTTAATTGCCTTTTAAGAAGATATTTTATTAGAATGAATGAACGAACAACACTAGCAAATAGGGGGTTCTCGGAGCTTCGGTGAGTGAGCAAAGCGAGCTAACTGGCAGAGCCCCCGGCACCCGGCCCAGCCGCTAGGTTGAAAAAAAAAAGCAAAAAAACATGAAATTTTCAAAAGGTGCATGCCTGGGCTGAGGTGCAAGGCACATCAGGCACACATTTGAAAGGGCTGTGGCGCTGCGCTTAGTCCCTAGGCGAGGCACATTTAGGGTATGCACCTCGCCTGTGTGCCTAGGCGTGCCTTTTAAATCACTGATTGCCCCCATGTTTCAAAGTAGCATGCTTGTGGTTTCTATCTGAAATTTGATAGTGGCTGCAAATGCACTTATGACCACAAGGTCCTGCTGGGGTTGGGGACATATATCTGATGCAAGAGGAAACCATGTTTGGGCTTTCAGTGGGCCAATTGGCATGGATGATTCATCAGAAAAGCCATGCACCAATGTAGGGATTCTGGGGTTGGGGACATATATCTTTCTTTAGATGGATTCTGGTTTTCAATGTAGCATACTACATCAAAAAAGCCATGCACCAATGCATAAAACATTTACTACCACCAATAGGAATTCTCCATTTCCCAATGTGTTCTTCACAACTGTGGATCCTACGAATAATGAATTAGCTAAAATACCCCATCTACTGATAAATTAACCAATTATGCCTACAACTACATATATGTTCCTATGCCTATGGGTTAGTTTCAGTTTTGTTTTCTTTTTGATGCATCAACTAAATCACCAAGCAGATTGTATGTTTATATATAGCAACATATATGGCAGCTTAATTTCTGCAAATATTATATTAGTATTACATTTTGAGTGAAAAAAGTTCCAGAATACAATAGGAGCAAGATTCAAAAGAATGTTCTTCTCTTCATGAGTTCTTTAACAAGCCAGGAGTCAGCAAAACTCACCAGGTCATGAGGAATGACCCTAAGCTGATTTTTTTTTTTGGTCAAATTACTTTTGAATCACTAACTAAATCCCTATTAAGTCAGGCTTTACCTCTCAATTATCCTCCATGTTTTTATTTGTTTCTTTGATTTTTTTATCATTAATAGATCCACTAAAATCAGCATAGCACAAAAGAAAATAAATTTCACAACCATGATGCAATAAAGTGACCTGGTTTGCCCAGCCATATTTAGAGCATCACCCCAATGGCCTATTAAGGGTTGGACAGCTCCCAATACAGCTCCAGACAATTTACCCCTTTCTAGCAAGTTCGTCTACCGGTTTTTTATGGGTTGATTCATCTTTAATCATTGTGCATTGGTTAGTGATTTGGCACTTGCCTAGTCTTGACAACTAGGCAACAAGGTGCCCATGGATGGTCACCTCGCTTAATTAACTACCAATTTTGCACATGCTACTATGAAACACTTATATTCTTTGTTTTTTAAAATAAAAAAAATTAAATAGATGTTATTTTATGGGTTTATATACTAGTTTTTCAATTATTTTCTTATTAGTTAGGGTTCAATAAGCGCACATGTTGGTGCATGCTGTCTTGAACACTCAAAGACTTCAAAACCTGAACCAACAAGCAAAGAAGAACTTAAAATTCTGTCCAATCAACAGTCTTTTTCTTTATCATCATATCGTCATCTCCTCTTTCCACCCCTTTTTTGCCTTTTCCTAGGAAAAATAGGAGATCAGCTCCTATATTTTCTGAACTTTCTTTTCTTTCTTCTTTTTCTTCTCATAAATATGTTGACTTTCTATGGTTTGCTAAGAAGATTATACTTTTATATTAAATTTATAGATAATTATGAATGAAAGATGGTTGCTGGTCGCTATGGAATCTAGANCCCAACCCATATCCCCTAGCTTTTTCCTTGGTACCATGAGAATTATGACTAGGTTGAAACTAAGCTTGGTTAGCAGCTTAGCGCTAGTATGGAGGGTCATGCCTCAATTAGGGTTGACCACAATGTAACCCAACCTGCTCTGAGTTGCAAGCTAGAGTCATGATGACACCATATGCTTCAACTGTTTAACATGTCCAGAGTGTCAATCAAGGTACAATACAATAGAATGGGTAACTCATACAGAAATGAGACCTTTTCTATTAGCAACCACTCAAGCAACTTCAAAGATGTCTGAAAAAGATAAGATGCAAATACAGAATCAACGAAGCAGAGGCCAGCCAGCTACCCCCAACAAACATATACCGACAGAAGGAAATGGAAGATTCTCACCCTTGCAGGGGGACCATACAACTCTTTTTATTTTTTTATTTTTTGATCAGAAAATGATTTCATTAGAGATAATAGGGGACCCTACAACTCTTCCCTTCCCTATTAACTCCTTTAGCAAGAGAATTTGCTAAGAGTTAGTAGTTTGTAGACCTTCATATCCATCTAAACAAAGTGATCGTGGTGGATGCCAAAGCCCTCACTTCACTAATGCAATGAAGAAAGACCCAATGTATAGAAAATAACTTTCTATCAGTTCTGCACTATTAGAACTTGACTACCTACTGACAATTCTCTGCACGTTGTGTCAACAAAAATACATGAATGGTATCTCATCTTAACTACTAAGAACTGATACTTGGAAGAAACATAAAGCCTAATGCCATCATAGAGATTCAGCAACCAATCCAGATCTATGTACTAGAGTGTGGAATTTCATTATCTGTAAGAAAATTACATGAATAATCAAAGGAAATAAAGAGCAACGCCCCCCCCCCCCCACACACACAAAAAAAAAAAGTACAAACAAATAAATGCCTTCACATGCAAAAGCATTAAAAAACTGCCATACATATCCATACGATGACAGTACCAATGATACACGTGGATATATCACTCAGTGGTAACACCATGTGAAGATTTAGTCCCTTGGTTAGTGATGGGGGGGTAGGTATGAAATGATTTTCCAACAATGTAACATGTAAAGGTTTTCCACACAGCATTCACTTGCAATCTATCTTTTTCTCTTATTTTTGGAAAGCCACTAATGGCTATTGAGTATCGACTTTTATTCTCTTCTTCCTTTAGGTATACTGTTATTGGTCAGTGGGGCATCCAATGATGTTGGATAGGATAGATAGAAAACTTTCCCAATTTTTGGGTGTCCTTGCCCCCTCCCCTGGCTTCACCCAAGAATGGGTGCCCAAATATCACAAGAAACTGTAGGATTTCTAAAGGTAATTCCAAACCTACAGATCTGCAATCACACCAGTGGATATCCCTTTTAATTATATCTCAGACATATAAATACACAGGCTGAAAATCTTGTATGACTTTTTCACGTTTTAGTAACAGAGAAGTGCCTTGGCATAAACAAAATTATAGCACGATAACAATATGAGTGGACATCCATAGGTTGCTGCTTTTGACGGTAACACTATCTGAATTTCACAAGTACAACTAGCTACTGCAGCATTCAGCAATAAACCAAGTGGTAACAGGATAAAGATATGACTGAAAGTCCATTCTGCGGGTTTACCTAGTTCTCTTGACTGTGACTTCCAAACCAATCTCTTTTTTTTTTCAATATTATTTTTTGTTATTTTGATCAATAGACTTAGTAAATTGTTTCAGATTTTGTAAAACATTTATGCTTTTAGACATTGGAAATGTTTCCTTTCATTTCTCTAAATGCCAACCTGTTGCATAGCGCTTCTCTGTTTATCATCTGGCTAATCAACGCATTGGATCAGCCCCAACACCAAACCATCCCAACCCCATCTCAGAAAATATTCAGTTTAACATTCGGTATAGCTTATCAAAACCAAAACATTCCAGTATCCTATACATTTTAAAAACCATGCCTTTCAATTAATAACATGATAGAACACCTAAGATAGATATCAGTAAAGATAACTAGTTGTACAACACTAGAACAAAATTCTCCACGAAAGTCAGAGTAGAACCCCTTTGCTAGAATCATCTGTAACTTAGGTCAGGTGTTCGATGAACTCCAAAACCATACCTTTCAATTAACTCGGTACCCAACAGAAAAGAATGAAAAATATGAGAAGAAGTACCTATTTGCCGGTGATAAGACCTGCGCTCTTACGGTAAGGTATCTCGCCGGCCGTTGGATTCTAGGACAACAACAGCTGGGATTGGGGTATAGTGAGCTCGGATGCAAGCCTCTAATGGAAGCCAATGTGAGTTACGAGGAAAATACGAGGGTTTTGCTCGGGAAAAAGAAGTTCTAGAGTTTTCTTTCTTTTTTTTATTTTTTGTAATTACCAGTGTTACCGACCAACAGGCTGAACCGTTTTGCCTCCGGGTCGCGGGTCAGCGGTTCACCCGTTCGGTTGGACGGGTCAGCCATGACACATCAAAACAACTTAGGTCTAATATATATTTTTATTTTAGTTTTAATTTTTATTTATACAAAAGACATAATTTGAAATTTAAGGCCAAAAACGATTTTTTTTTTCTTTTGCAAAAATAGTGGGGCGAGGTGCCTTGAAACTCGGAAGGTGTGGGTCTGAAAAGTTTACCCAAAATAAAAAGAAAAAAAAAATCACCTAAATTAAACACAGGGTCCATGGTTCAACCCTGTTGGATATTTTTTACCAAGTCAATGCTTTTTATGATGTTTTATTCAAGGTTTTCAATTCGTCATTGACTCGGCCCTAGTTATAATTCCGATGCTTTTTATGATGTCCAACCCAAACGGTTCACTATTGACTTGTGACCTAGAGGAAAAAACCATTCAATCTCAAGTCAATTTTTAAAACATTGGTTTTATTTGTTGATTGAATTAAATGATATTTATTCTGAAATACAAATTACTTAATTAATTTTTGACAGATTAAATTACTTGATTAGTTAACTTAAAAACTAATTATCTTTTAAATTGAAGTAGATGATTTAACCTAATAATATATCATTGAATATCTCCATTTCAATGTAATTATTTTTTTATTGATTATTATAATTTAATATAAATACATCTAATGGTTTTATATTTTAAATAACTTAAATTGAAATAGATATAGATATAAATAAAGTTATAAAGAAGAGAGAGAATTAATGGTATAAGTTATTGAAGGAGATAGTTAATAGCATAATTATTTTTTGGAAGTTAATGTCATAATTAATGAGAATAGATAATTAAATGAGTTAATGAAAAAGAGGAGAGGGAGTTAATAGTGAGTTAATGAGAGGATATCAAAGTTTGTCAAGGTTTGAACTTGATGCTAGATGATGTGTCAAAATCTGAGAGGCCGGTTGGAATCTGACTTGTGAACAAATGGTGCAGTCGGGCTCATCTATAACGAGTTGAGGATGTGCCATCTTGGGCATTGGACCGGCAATTGAGGATTCTTCTTTCTTCCTCCCCTTCCTCACCTCCTTTTTTCTTCCAGATTGCATCTTTTTAGGGTTTCTAGCATATAAGGGTAACTTTTGGGGTTTAATATCAATAAAAGTAATATATTTAAAAAAATTTCAAAAATAGGTTAACTTTTTAAAATAATATCAATAAAGGGAAAAAACACTACTCATCTTCTTCTTGTTGCCATTTGTTCACTAGAGGCACCACTCGTCACCGCCATCCGCTGCCGCCCGCCACCACCTCCGCCTCCAGCAACGTTGTTGGAGATGGGTAGAGACAGAGGTGGCAGCGGTGGTGGGCAGAGGAATGACCACCTGCACCGCTGCCACCTCTACCTCTGGCCACCTCCGGCAACGTCGCTGGAGGTAGAAGCGGAGGTGGGCGAAGGCGACGGCGAACGGTAGCTCTGGTGAACAAATGGCAAGAAAAAGAAGATGAATAGTGTTTTTACCCTTTATTGATATTATTTTAAAATAGTTAACCTATTTTTGAAATTTTTTTAAATATTTTACTTTTATTGATATTAAACCCCTAAAGTTGTCCTTATATACTATTACCCCAGGTCCATATCCTTTTTGTCCTTTGTCCAGGTGGGATCTTAGTCTCTTCATTACTCCTAGTCCCCCTAAGGGCCTACCTACTCGAGAGATTGCTCCTCAATATCTTTTGTCATCCTACTATTTGTTATTTACTTGGGGTTCTCACATGGCGCTACCATGCCAGCCATAAATGCTTGCCCACCTACCCGTCCACTTGTCTACCCACGGATTGTCATGGTGCCATCCCAACACCTCTTCATCGTACCAAACTTTACCCGGTCCGCATGCTTGAAGGTTTCTTGCACATCATGTTCTCTAGTAGTGGTTAGACCTGTTCATGGGCCGAGTAGCCCGACGGACGGGCTTGAACGTGATTTTTAGCCCATGGGCTTGACCTCGGGCCTAAAAGTTCAACTCAATTTTTTTCAGGCTGGGCTCGGGATTTGTCAAAAAAGCCCGGCTCGGCCCGACTAGTTTCTAAACCCTAAATCCCTATTCCCTAACTCAACTAACCTTTCCTAGTTTCCCTCTTTTCATAGTTTTGTCTTCTCATTCTCACTCATAGTCTCAAACGCCTCTCACTCTCAGAGGCGAACTCAAGCACCGACGCCACCAACCTCTCTGCCTCCGACAGTAGCCAGGTCCTCTCTCTCTCTCTCTCTCTCTCTCTCTCTCTCTCTCTCTCTCTTGTTATCTTCTTCTCGCTGTCTCTCTATCTCCGGCGGTTACAGCAAGTTTGCAATTTATTTCCAAAAACCATTAAATTCTATGTAGAGCTTTTTTGCCTTCTGTTGATTAGCCCATGTCTCCATTACATCTACAGAACTGACTTTAGGCATTCTACCTCTATTGCTATCACCATGAGCTGAAAAGCAACCTGTTTGAAGGGATAATACATTGAATGTCTGTTGAGCGCCTTGTTGTTGAACATTGCTATCACCACAAGCCCGACCTAACAAGGGATAATCATTTTGTTAGGTCGGGCTTTGGGCTTTTTATGAGGGTTGGGCTCAAGCCCAAATTGTAGGCCTGTTGGTCGGACTGGGCTCGGGCTCGGGCCCGAAACAATTCTGTTAATGAAGAGTAAAAGCCTGGCCCAAGTCCGGCCCATGAACAGGTCTAGTAGTGGTTGGTTACTTAACTCAGTTTATCACTCTTGTTGGTCTTGAGCAACCTCCTTGTGACACATGGTGCACACTGCTCCCTTGGATTTCGTAGTTACAACAAAGTCTTAAAGCTTATTGATCACTTGAATTATTTTTGTTTAATTTTAAAATGAGAAAATTCAAAAAGAAAAAATAGAAAAAAAAATAGTGCTTCTCCAAAACAACCAAAAAAAAGATATTAAAAAATAACCAAAAAGCAGGAAAGTGACAAATTGGCACATTCCATTTTAATATATGGATATAGATTTTACTTGGCTCTATCCTGCCACCACGGCACTTCCTCTTGGTTTTCATATCTAAACCCTAAACTCTAAAATTAATGTATAAAATGCAGTTGATTGGATATATGTCTCCAAAGTATGTTTTGCAAATTGGGCCAAAGTGTGAATTTGAACATTGTATTTATGGTTAATAAAACAAAAAGAGTAAGGCCCAATTTGAGAAACAGTGGAAATAAGAGAAAAAAAAAAGATATAATCAGGTCCAAGGCAAAAAATATGGAGACTGAAAAGCACATAAAAATAAAATAAGAAGAAAATTTGTGCAAATAAGTAAATTTTTCGGTCCTTCTTGAACAACCTTTTGCAAGCCCTTATAAATGCCCATCAGTTCCACTTCAACCACTAAACCTTGAGACAAAAAACATTCAGCATACACATTTACAACTAGGGGTTAGAAAATGGGTAGGTTCTACCCGGAACCAAATGGAACCAACCTTGAACCAACCCTATTCAATCTGTTACAAGGTATGGCCTGGTTCCAAATTCTTGGAACCAACCCCCACCTAGGCTAGTTCCAAAGTCCAGGGGTTTACCCTACCCAAACCAACCCAATGAACTAGCCTTGGATGAACCGACCTTGGTGGAACCTACCTTGGAACCAAACTTGCCTTAAAATAAATCCCAAAATACTTTTTGGGATGTGAAGATTTGGATCTAAGCACTCATAGTTGCAAAGGTCATGGTCTCACTTGACCATTGAATTACTTAAGTGATTTGATCATTTGTTTTCATTTTAATATTTGAATGTGTGCAGTGAGTAATGTAAAAGGTAATACTTAAAAATTTAAATTTAAACTATAATTTTTGAAACATATAATCATAATGTACATATTAAGTTACTCAATTTAATAAATAAAGATAATATAAGTTTTAAACTATATATTATATTTATTGATAATCAAGTTTTTAAAGAACATGTGGGAGAGTAAAGAAAGAATGGGTTTCATGGGTAGACCTTGGAACCAACCTTCATAGGGTAGGTTTCGATCCCAAAAACCTAGAAACAAACCGAACCAACCGATGCTCACTCCTACCTACAATAGCATATTGATGAGTTAAAAATAGACAACCACAAGTGCTTGAAGTGGAAGATATAATACCTCCATTAGTGAATAGCACATATGAACTTTCAGGCAGAACTGTAATTGTGTAAGGCACAAAATGTTCTGAACTAGTATTTTGAGTACGAGGAACAAATATGGAGGAAGAAGTAATTGAGTTCACCTTATTTAGAATCCATATGAACAAAGAGTTTTGTTGTGGAAAATATTTCCATTCCTTGCAAACTAGATATAGTAAGAACTAGTATTTGGTGATTCATAATTGGGATTGGGTAGATAGAATCTCTATGTCCTAGGACCAAAAATATTGAATAATGAAACAYRAGTAGGAGTATGGCCTATAGTAACATASTCGTCCTCCAACTCCAAAAAKTGGGATGACTTATCATTATAATGAACAAATAATGAACAAATATTCTTAGAACTATACTACTAHTATAGTATATATAGTATACTTTATAGTATACTATAACTCATTATAATGATAATTTATCATGCAGTAYACAGGCAGTTACTTTTTTTATTACAAATATAAAATCTCTATTCTCCGCTCAAAAAAAAAATGAAGACTAAGACTGGAGTTTTTTGAAAAAAGCCCCTTAATATATATTCAACATGTCTCTCCTTTGAGAGAAGCTATTTATCTATTTTTTCTTTTTTTGATTTTTTTTATTTTTTAATTCCATGTCATTTTTGAAACAACCAATGAGATACACTTTCCCAATAACCTAAATTATCTATTCTCCTAAAATTACTCCTAAACTACCTCCCCCACTATCCCCCAATTTCTCCAAAATTATGTCTACTT